AACAAAAATTATACATATATAAAAACAAAACATTGATTTAATGGCACTGTGGTTCTGATTCAGCAGCCCCAATACAAATACTAAAAAATGTCAAATCAAAGTTAAATATCCATTACCATTTAAAAAAATAAAATAAAATAAAAAAAAATATCCCTGACTCACTGCTTTGGGTCAGCCAGCTAGACTTTTGTTGCCTGTGAATCCCCTGCTCTACAGAACAGATGACACATAGATTACTCAAAAGGAAAAGTACTCAGTAGCTGCAGTCCTAAATCCGACTTGTATATAAAGACACATAATGCACTGAATGCACCACATAAAAACGAATCGCTCATCGAGCAAAATTATCTCAAACTTATCTACCCGACTCGTGCAATGCATCGTGTACGATTTGTTCTTCATCTTTTTGTTTACAGAAATGTCTTCGCCCAGGGTTTGGTCCACTGGGCACATCAGAGTTTGGACATGTCCATCATTGGTGGGTTTTATTTTGCCAATTTACTTCTCTGCCTCTTTCGAACATGTCAGTGAATTACAGACTTGTACAGGGTAACCGTCTGAAGATGAGGCCTCCTTGGGTGGCTGTAGCTCAAGTGGTAGAACAGGCCATCTACTAATCGGAAGGTTGCTGGTTTGATCCCTGGCAACTAACCCCAAGTTGCTCTCTGATGCAACTATCAGAGTGCGAATGTTCGATAGAAAGCACTAGAAAGAGGGAAAAAAAGTACTTATGAATGGGGCACATTGCATAAAGTGCTTTGAGTGCTCAGGTAGAGCAGAAAAGAGCTATATAAGAACCAGTCCATTTACCATTCCTTTTTGTTGTATCGGAAGAGTTATACACAGATGTTTCTCTAGATTCTTAATAGTATGATTAGCAAATCTAAACAGTGGAGACCTGACATTGTAAGTTAAAAGGTAAGACAAACCATCACTGTGGAAGTTTCCATTAAACTGTCAAGACTCATAAGAAATCCACAAGAAGCTAGCTGCCTACTGCTAGCGAGCATCATTATCTGAAACAACCCAATGTTATAGGTTGTGCATCCTGAAAATTGAACAGGATATGAAGTAACCCATATGTGAAAAAACAGGATAATCTTACACAACCACAATGGCGCTCTGGGTTCAGCATCTTGCCCAAAGAGATGTCAGCATGTGACCTAAATGAGTGTGGTTTGACTCACTAACCTTCTGATTAGCAGAAGTTCCTGTGAACCACGTTATCCCCAGCTTTTAATGTGAAGGATTTTTTTTGGTCCCCAATCTTCACCCATATCACCTAATTTACAGGATCAGGATGGGACACGCAGTGATAACTATATCTAATGATGGATGTTGGACTGATGGGTAATTTTAACCTATAAACTGCAATTAATGCAGACACCTTCATGAGAACATGCTCTCGTGTCACATAAAAATTGTGGGTTGGTTAAGGGAGAGGTTGTATGGATGCCATAGAGCGAGCAGCATGAGTGAAGGCGAAATAAAAACAACCATCATCAGCGCTATAAAACCTGCCCAGCTGCAGTCTTTGATCCTCCCCTCCAGCTCCCCTGCTTAATTTGAACACCTGCACACACACCGAGCCACACGCACAGCCCCTGCTGCTCACACACGCCACGCCTGGCCACACATCGCTCACACAGCAAATCTCACTTCCCATCAGCTGTAGGCAGAAGCGGCAAACAGATTTGTTTGTTTTCTCTCTGAAGGAATGGCTTCATTTTAATCAATGAGCAGTGATGTTATGCCGTCGGGGCAGCGCAGAGCATGAGCGCGTCTTTATTTTAGTTATCACTTATGGTTATAGCTAACCTTTCAAAGATCATTAGCAAAATGCCAAGGACTGAACAGATGTGGGCGTTTCATGTCATTTACTCTTAAGGTTTCATATGCAACTGGATGTCTCCTGAAGCCTGTGCCTAAAACGGTCAATTCAATTAGAGCTACAATGAGGGATCATTTTCACCAACAACTATTCTACTGATTTAATAAAAGACATCTGTGAAAACATCTCATCGGTTTTACAAATCTATAAATGTCTTTGTCTCTGTGTGTCAAACAGCTCAAAATACCCAAAAGACATTTGAACCACAGACTTCTAGAACAAAAAGCATTTCCACCCATTCCCTTAAAACCAAAACACAGTTCTGGCAATGTGTTCACTGCTTTAATAAACTGAGTGCCTGCTGCATCTTTGTTAAAACAAAATCATTAGAAAAAGGTTATCATTCATTTTTTTGTCCTTTCCACACTAACCTTGAGTGCACACAGAGGAAGTTAATGTTGGTAACGATCGGTAATCCGTCTTGTGAATTTCTCTTTGATAAATCAAACCCAGGTTTTCATAGGATGCCAGCAGCCCAGCATGTGCACATTAGGACACAGGTAATGGTGGAATTCCTTAGCAGCATAAGATGGCTGCCATAGTTCTTCCTGCAGAACATGTGCGAGGTCAGGGCTGATGCCTTTTTAAGCAGGATAGTGGATCTAATGTTGGGCTGTATTTACTCACCTACTCTCAAAAACACCAAACATATATACCATGTTGTGGATCAAAAGCGAGGGGGGGGGGGGTAAATAGGAGGGATAACTGATTTAAGTGAAAACCTGGAACATCTGTTTTTCATTCAGTTCATGTTTCAGACTTCAGAGACCTCAAGGCTTTACTCAGCATCTTTCCAGCTAACTTTATTAAGCCTGCTTTGTTAGATAGACCCACGCTCGGCCTTTTTTCCTGTCTAGATGCTGCGTCAAGACTACCTCATCAATCTAGCTCTGGTCAGACAAAACGGTCCATTTTCCTTCCATAAAACATCATAAAATCTTTTAAGTTGCTGAGACAGGCCGAACCATGCAGGACCTCATCTCCAGGGTGCAGTTTTGTAACTACATGGGTGTAATTGCTTTGTCTGGGTTTCTTGTTATTCACAGGCAATACATAGTTAAAGGATTAAATGTGTAGGATTACTCACTAGTCTTCATGCTGTGATTCAGAGCGAGAATAACATTCCTAGTCACGACCAGTAATACCATATGGTGCAGTGCGGAATATTGTTCCCTGAAAACGAGGTGAGGCTACACGGACTGAAACATCTGCTTGTTCCTCAATCATTTTCTAAACCAGTCAAAATTAACATTTTTAAAAATTGTATGTTTATAAAAACAAAAGTAATACAAATGCACACTGGCATTTAAAAAGGAGACAAATGGGTCACTACCTACGAGCTTACCTCAGTCCCAACTCTGTCAGTTCGTTAGTGTTTTTAAAATCACGTGAAACTTTATTAAAATTTACGCGACATTGCAAAAAAAAAGTATTATTTACATGTATAATTTGAATTGATTTGAGTTAACAACTTAAAAATTTCCCAGCCTAATTAAATATTGTTTAAATAATGTTTATTTTACAAATATATCCACTAGTTTTCACTTTCTTGGGGTGAAATAATAGATCCAACGTAACACAGCTCTGTCACATATACTTAAAGTTACTTGTTATGATTGTTTCATACAGAACAAAACAATTTTGAAGCTTGAAAAATCCATTTCCCCGAGACATGTTGGCCACATTTCCTTTCCGAGAAGAAATAAAAATAATAAAAACTTTATAGGGACTCATTACTATTCCATACAGACGTATAAAACAATTTAAAAGGAGGTTATTTATTTATTTAGATACTTTTCACAAGCTGTGGTTTTATTTCATACATGGGTACTGGCTCTATGTTGACTTTAAAGCTTATTACCCTAGCGTGACACCTGTTGAGCCATTTTCCCCTCCTATTGGGTTAGCTGTTAATCACCGATACATGACAACAATTCGGCTTTTGAACAGTAGTCAAGACAAAGAAAACACTCCTTCATGCTGAAAGACTAAATTAACCTTTCCCCTCTTTTTCTTTTGCAAGGGGAGGGTGTGATGGAGTTAAAGGATAACTTTGTTAATTGGCTTCCATCGAGTCCAAACAGGAAGTCATTAAAAAGTGCCTGAAGATTACAGGAAATAATTATCTGTAAGTTGCTGGCCATATCTTCTGAGTTTGAAAACTATGAGCATTGTAAAATCTTCATTTTATATACCAGTACCAAGTTTAGGAATATGCACAAAAATCTGCTCATTATTCAGTGTTTTCACCTTTGTCTTGTTTACTTAGATTCTTTAATATCGTCATCAATAAAAACTATAGACATTATGAGGCGTTTCCTGCTTTAGGGGAGGTTTGTATGTTTGTATACTGCAGTTTTAGCCTACAGTCCCAACTAGCTCACTACCTAGCTCTAAGAAAACTAAAACCAGTTTTTTAAGACTATTTAAAAATCAGATTTCTTGGAAGAAATTCATGCTTCTTGTAGAACCCATCTCATAACAATGATCATGTAAAAAAACGCACTGGCAGGACAGGTAATACATAATGCTTCCATCACACCATAACAATACAGTCACACAATGGGCCAAAGAACAGAAAACCGGTTTTAACTGGAAACATCAACAATGTGAAGAAATCAGAGTGCTTGTCTTCCGATGACAAAGTTTGCTCTCAGACTGCTGAGCCAACAGCAAGCCAGAAAACAATGGCTTTAAAAATAATCACTAAAATCATCAAGAAACTCTCAGAAATGATTTCATAAATGTTTAGAGAATATAATAACAGAATTTACCAAATCAGAAATTAGACATAACAAGGGCACACTGTGCTCATAGCTGCAAGCCCACCTTCTTTCTTCAGGAATTAGATAAGCCCTATATTTAGATAATCAAATTGAGATTTGTTTAAATTTCATATGAACTGTTTATAACCCCTAATCAAGAGTACTTCAGGTTTTTGACACTCCGATATGAAAACAATGCAACAGCAAATGCAGGAAAAGAAAAAGAAAATGCAGCTTATTACTTACGTGTCCATAGTTGATGAATCCATGTTTGCTAGCAATTTGATCAGCCTCCTCCTGACCTCCAGGTATGTGGACAGCCCATGTGTTGGTGTAGACCTTCTGACCCTGTACCGGTCCACAAACCAGCAACACCAACAGAGGCACAAGCAGCAACTCCAGCAGCCTGAACCTGCGGCCTACGGAGGGAGATGGATGGCCAGTAGCCATGGGTTCCCCTAGTGCAGCACAGTCACTGAGCACAGCGCCTCTCCAACAGGCCGGGGCTGCTCACAGTACATGCAGGTGCACGGAGCGTCAGAGAAAAGGAAAGTCACAAATCACCTGAAAAGAAAAGGCAAAAAATAACAAAAGGTACAGTATTAAAACAAGATACCGTAAGGTTTTAAACTAACAAAAGATTTAAAATCAAATTTCCACAGAACACAAGAACAAACACACGCAAGGGAAAGAGGAGAAAGTAAACAGTTTAATTTTAACCTTATCGCCTTCCTTTATTTGGTGGATTAAGGAACATAAAGGGGAACAAGAAAGAGATAGGCTTGGTGTGGAAGTTTACAGATTTTAAATTACACTGTAAAGTGACTGCAGAGGTGTTGCAAAGAAAACTGACCACATTGAATATGTTAATCTGTTTTGTTCATCCACCCCAACAGGAGTTCTGACCACGCACGTTGCAGCCCAGCTAAACACAGCCATTTGATAATCCCACAGGAAGAGCCGGACGCCCAGCCCCAAAATGATGTTGCGGTCAGACACGCAGCGGCAAATTGTGGTGTTCACGCTCTCCTGGGAGGATACAGTAGATGCAGTTTACAAAAAAAAAAAAAAAAATGCTGAGGTATACCGAGTTGGCAGCAGAGGTGGAGAAATGTGGTTGGAAAGCTAGACTACGCCCCAGATGCTGGGGGAATCACAGCAGAGGCAGTTTTGGTATGAGGTGCAGGATCAGCTTGAGGGACGAGTTTGAATGCCTGAAGGTAGCAGCGGCAGCCACCGAATGGCTGAGGCCAAGGACAGAACATCAAGTGTTCGATGAGAAAAAAAAAGTTTCCGATTTGAGTGATGCCATTTCTTTGTAAAATGCTAACTGATGTGTTATCAGCCACTCATTGAAAAAAAAAACATCTAACACAATCTTATGAATGAGACAAAGCAATTTATCTTATCAAGCCACAGCAGCCAGTGCGAGCCGAGAGATCTCAGCTTGCGGTGATTGTTTGCTGATACAATTTTGCGTCTGAGCTGTTGTTTAGAGTCAAGGTCAGCTGTGGCTGTTGAGACCATTATCCAAAGTGCTAACTCTGTTGTAATCTTAAGCTCACTATGCTGCACTAAATAAAGTGCTTCCATTCGGCCTTTTCATCGCATCTGTTCTACTGTGGGATGGAGCTTTCCGTCCTTTCACGGGTGTTACAGCCTCTGTGTTAGCCATTCGACAAATTAAAAGACTTGAAATTATCTCGCACTCCGAATGAACAAACAAGCGCTTCGAGATTTCCCCGAGCAGTTTGTTGTGAGGCACGCATGATGTGTTAAGAGGTGGAAGGAAAATTTAGCTGTGAACTTAGGAGTCACTTTTAGTGTATAGTGTTACCAAAGACAGATTAATATCCCACCAATCCATTCATCACAACAACAGCACACAAAACAAACATCTTTACTATATGAATATTACATATATTTACATTATCTTTGAGGTGCAGTAGGAAGCAATCTAAGTAGGAATGTTTCATCCCTGTCCTGTACCCTGTCCTTTTTCCTCCAGTTCTTCCCAGGAAGACACTGCAGCATTCCCAAGCCAGGCAAGAGACAACATAATTTCTCCATCAAGTTCTGGGTCTGCCCTGGAGGTCTTGTTTCAGCTGGATATGTCAAAAATATCTCACTTGGGAGACATCCAAGGGACATGTTCAAATCAGCTCAAGTGGCCCGACACTGGTTGTCAACTTCTCTTAGAATTCCAGGATTTTACACCAGAAAACCCCATTAATCAACAGATACGTGACCAAACTTTGTGTATCACTTAGAACTTGATACATGAGCCATCAAGAACAGCCTGATACTTCCGTCCATGCCTTAAGATAAGGGAAGACATCAGGATCCAGATTAGTTTGTTACATTTTCTTCATTAGAACATCAAGACAATGTCTTCTGGGTTTCTGATTTAACTCCTTCCAAAATTCCTGGAACAATGACCTGCATCCACACCACGGTTTAATCACTTGTAATTCGGGAAACCTTTTAGTAACACTGTGAGTAAGCCTGAGAAAACTAACCAACAAACAAACAAAATCAAATCGATTATGACCTCCTTGGTGGAAGTAAATAAACACTTTGAATGAGTATCTACTGACTATTTTGTTGTTATCAAAAGCTGATACTCTGCTGAACACTCACAGTTCAAGGCTGCTTCCCAGGAACCTCTGCACTGTCAAATGTCAAAACACCTCTAACACCTTTGTCCTAAATGTGCAACTTTCAGTGTGATTTTTTTTTTGTTAGGTTTATATCAACCATGATGTAAAAAAAATGAAATAAAAATATGTGGTAGATCTCCATCACTTCAGTATTAAAGTTTCTAGAACAATGGTGGCTGTACTATTTCTCCACTGGTGGAGCTTATTGCTCAGAAACACAGGAAGTCTCCTGGCATAACCTCCTCTTCTGCATACGTGTCAAAACATCTTTATCTTTTGTTGCCAGATGCTATACACTGTAACAAAATGTCTTTGGTAACTTTATTGCCTAACACAATACCAGATTAACACAGTATGCCAACTCACTTGAATTAACAACATCTACCTTTTAAAAGCTCCTTGTTATCTGGAATAAATAATGCACATGTAGAACTGACAGGCTGCATCAGGTGAGGACTTAAAAGTGTACATCAGACATCAGAGTCCAGACATTTACTCAGCCCTTTACTAGGTCTGACTTTGTTCAGTGTGTTGTGAAGCTACAGGTCACATCATTAGCAAAAAGCAAGCAAACAGGTCAGCCCGGCTCTGGCTGACATGTCAAGCTGCTAATCTATGTCAGGACGTTTCAAGAGTAGATTTTCATTGCATAAATCCCTTCACATCAGAAACGACTATAAATAAAAAGCGACATGTATAAGAAAGCGAGCAGAACAAATCAGGTGTCAGAAATACATCTCAAAAACACCCAAATCCCTCCATCGCCTGTTAATTCCCTCTCTCTGTTCAGATAAGCCTGTTTTACAAACACAGAAATATCTAGCTAAATTAAAAAATTAATCCAAACGCGCCATATTAATTACACGTTTACCTTTTCATTGCCCACTCAATTTGTACTGAAATAGACACACAAGAGTTTGCTCCTGTGTGGATTTTACATCCTTCTGAAAAGCTCAAAGGTTACAAGCTACTTAAACAAATATTTGCATAAGTATTAAAATTAGGTTAAAATGATCTGATTTTTCTAATTAAAAGGAGTCAAGCACTCAAAGTATTACAGACTAATATGACAGCATAACTCACTTAACTTTGTCTTCTTTCCTGTAATGCAGTAAGTATCAGCGAGTGGCCGATCCCTGTGCTCTGTTTGGTTTGACACGCACCTTCTTTAAAGCACTTTTGCCTGTGACCTCACCTCAGTGCTCAACCACTCAGTTTCTCCAACGTCAGCTTGGAAAACCCACATACCGTGGCCCAACAACCACTCAACTACTTTACAGTCTGCGAGAGACAAAGACGAAGCCGACCGCTGGGCTGCGAGGTCTTTAGCGTTACCACGGTAAATGATACCATATGTCAGACTGCGATAACACAGGTTATTACAGAAAAAACCTGCACCATATTATAATTAGCCAAGTGTCATTAAACTCAAAGGATAATACCGCCCTCATTACCGATCTCATCAGGACAATTTAGAAAGGAAAACTGTTTACACCTCATCGGTTTATTGTTTACATTTTAATGAGATAAAAATGAACTCAAATGCATTTAGCCCATATGACCCTTTGAGAAATTCAAATATCTGGCAATTAGGATTCTCTCTCACATTGTGACATACACACAAAAATCAATATTTCTCCGTTGGCGACTCAAAGAGCCTCCAGAGGGTTCTGAAGATAATCTGTGTGTGTAGCAGAGTGATGAAATGACAATAACGATACTGATAAGTTGAATCATGAAAATGCTACGAACAACATAATAAAAATTTAATTAGCGCTCTCTGCTAAATATTGCAAGAGATTAGCGGAGAAGTGGAGTGCTCAAGCCAAAAATATTCTCCAGTGTGATCAACTTTTACTTCTTTAAACTGTCTACAAGCACAAGTCAGCAGTTCTTGGACGTCTACGGTAAACCACAGAGTTTCTAAATGTGTAGATTAGAATCCTCAGGGACAATCTGGTAATTCCAATCAATTGACATGTTGTGATGCCACACGTTTACATTGCCTAGTATGCCCAACAACAACCCCAGACATTGTTTCTTTCATACATAAGCAAGAGCAATGTTCTAGCCAAAAGTGCAAATAAACTTGTTTAACCGCTTGTGGCAAAAAACACACCAGTGAGTACAACCAGGATATAAAGGCATGCAAAGAGGAGATACGAGCACCTGGTGGCGTGCAACCCAGTCACAAACAAATGACTGAGCCAAACACTCGCCTGGATGGAAATGACTGCTAAAAATAAAAGCGTTACTTAAAATTTCCAGGTAAAACATTACGTAGCCTACTTTTATGCTTTCATTTGACTTTTAATGTGTCACTGTTGTTGTACTATAATGCTCCTACTGCTGGTGGCACCCTGTGACAACAGATGCACATTTCGAATTAGGCAGTCTGTCATCGGAAACTACCCTTCATTTTGTTCCCACTAATAAATGCTGTTGCCTGCAAGCTGCAACCACCAATAACACTTTCACTGTTTTTCATACATCTTTATAAATACCGTTATTGAAAATTTTATTTAAATATCATGTTAGAATTTAGAGGCTATATCACCCACCCCTAGTATCATTAGCAGTATTTGGCAATTTCAAAATCTGACGTTCCAGTATGTCAGACAACATTTTTCCCTCCTTTCAGAAACACAAAGAAACAGATTTTCTTAACATTTGATATGCATTTAATTGTTTACAGCTCTGCTAAGATCAGTTGGTTGTTGCGTTCCAAACCCATGTTGCCAACAGGAAGTTGCAGAGTACCCTCTGGTTTAAAAAAATAAAATACTATCACAATATGCATTCTCAACATGTCGAACATGGTTGAAAGTTTCTCACGCGTTTACTTTTTAAAAACATTTTGATTAATCAGCTGTTCTAAATGGTGATGAGCAAAAACCAATCAGCTTTACCATGATCGTTTTTCCTAAAATGCATTTATCAATAACCTCTTAATAGGTTATCCCACCCCTGTTAGAGACAGAGGTAGGATTATTCCCCTCTCCCTAAGAGTAACCTTTAAAAAGAAGCCGACTGAACCAGCAGAATATTCGTGTTTCTATCCTTCCATGTGCTGAGGAAAGCCTCTGGATGACACACAGGTTTCACTGCTGAATAAAGCAGGAAAACAGAATTCATGGCATTTTGAGAAGTGTAACTGCAGTGTTAACTTCTTCCTGTCACAGATTTTCACTAAAGAACTCAAGATGAAGCCTGCTTTTGAAATAGATACCTGTATTATTGAAGAGAACAAAAAGAAAAAGGAGAAGAGCTTTGGGACCACTACTGGTTCACATGTGCTTTTAAAAAAAAAAAAACACCCCACCGCTGTGCATCTTTATAGAACAAGCCCTGTGTTAAACCCAAACCTGGCACAGCTGCAAGTATAAAACCCTTTCATTCAACATGCCAGGAGTACAATGAAAAACATCCAAGCTGAACCTCTCCTGTTATTGTTTATGCTCTTGAATGCAGGTTTCTAATAGCAGGGGTGGCTTTTTATTCATCCCCAGGGTGCATGTTCTCACCATTTTCCCATTTTTTGCGTATCCCACCTTCTTAGACACACAACTATAACCAAACACATCATCAGTGCAGTGTTCCCAGCTTTAAAAACAAAACAAAACCTTCATTGTCCACAGAATATCATGTGCTTTGCTATCATTTTTTAGGAGTGAGCTATAATTTTTATTATTAAACCTATTTGGGGGTTACTGGAAGACTGATTATCACTCTGCCCTATTAGTGCTTGCAAGCAACACAAAAAAAACCGAAAAAAAAAAACAACTTGCTCATCTGCACCCCCCCGAAAAAAAAAAATCTGGCATAAGGAAAAGCTTGCTCAGATCTATAAAGCATCAAATGCTTGCATTCAAAACAACATGCATTGTGTTTTTGTAATGTGGTACATGTCACTGCATGCAAGGAGCTTTACAGCTTGTTTTTATGTTTATCCATAACGATGAGCAGCTCTATATTGCCACAGTAGAGAAGTAAAATTATCAGTAGGTGTAACAATAATGGGGAAAACACAGAGGCACAACAAAAGCAGGTCAGCTCCCACGATCAGTGCAGCATATAGTGTGACACTTAATATTCAATGTTCAGTCACATTTCATAAACCCCAAACGAGATTTTCAGGGAAAGCTAATCCAGATTATGTCTTAAACTGTACAAGACTTGCATGTAAAGCAGGCCAGACAGCGAGGTAAATACAACAGCATTTAAACTACTCACATTTGCCAAAATAACAGCAATAGCTGATCAAGACATTACTCAAAGCAAACTGTATGTCTCAGTCTCCATATTCATTGGATATACAAGAGTTCCTATAAACTGCATGTGGCAACAACAAGTACTTAGCCTTCAGAAGACGGTAGCAGAGATTAACTGCAGTACAGATCAAGAAGGAGGAAAAAACTTCTTTCTCGGGCCTTAAATGCCAAGAAAAAAAGGGGGAAACGCTTTGATGTTTACCAGCTAAAGTTGAGAGGTTTTCGTGTGTCAGCTGACGGCGGAGTTTGCGGTCGCTTAAACTCAACTCACAGGTTAAGTCCGTGACAACAACACGCTGTCATAATTTGGCTCGGAGCAAGAGGTTGGAGCTGATCCGATGATGACTCCTGCGCTTGACAAATATGTCTGAAACTGTAACCGCGCCGCGATTAACGCAAACTTGACGCCGCGGTAGCCTGGGCTGTTCCGTCTCACAGGTGCCTCCCCTTTTTCCCCCTCTCTCATCCGCCCCTGCCGAGCATTTCCTCACATTTTACTCCTCAGAGCACGGATCACGAACGCCACGATTTTTTTTCTCCTCCACTCCGCAGGAACAACCACAGAAACCGGACGCGGCGCAGTCGACGTCAGCTCGGCATGTGTGTGTCTATAGGCGAGAGGTCTCCCCCTTTTCCAAGCAGACACCCACAAACTGACAGGATAACAAAAAGAAAACATCAACACGTCGTCCGGTTCTGCCCTGTGTCACGGACCCGGTGGTCCTGACACCGAGGGCTCGGTAAACTTGGCAGCCCAAACAAGTAACGACACAAGCTAAAGCAGACAGGAAACTTACCGACGGCTCAACTTACCAGCTGCCGTTTACATCCTGCTCCACACGGCTTATTGGTGCCTCACACCGCGGTGTTAGACCCGACGACGACGCGACAAAACCGCAAAAAAACTGATAACAGCGAACTGCTGGTTATAAATAGTCATGATAACCCTCCGGTGTGTGGCTGAGTGGTCCGTACAAGCCCCAGGAAATACGTCACGGCCGTGAATGTAGCGGAGACGTTAGAGGAAAACTACCGAGCTGCGGCGCTGCTACAGCCCCACCTGCCGGCCACAGGCGGCGTCGCACCCTCATGCCGACACAGAGGCTGTGTCCGGCAGCTGCCAAACACGCTATTGATTCCTAGAGGGGTCATTTATTATAGTGAAAAACACGCAGTGGATGCCAATCTGTTACGTGTGCGTGACTGTATGCCAATAAAGCTTACTGTAGTTGAGAAAACTGCTGTTGGGCCTATTAATTTACCAGCTTCCTTAACCTTTAAATAGTTGGTAAAAAAAACAAAACATATTTTATGTCACGGTGCAGATTATGACCTTTTGGCATATGTGGAAAACAACCTATATGTTATCTGAAACAGGTTCACTGCGTTTTAAAAAGCACATTTGCAGCATCTGGTCCAAGCCTGATGGCTATAATTTCCTTTGTTACAGTTTTCTCCACACAAACTCTAATAGTTTGTTTGTTTGTTTGTTTGTTTTATCTCATGATGCTGCCACTCCCAGAGCCTGGTCCTGTCCAAGGTCTTTTCCTTTTGAAAGGGAGTTTTTCCTTGCCACTTTCACAGGGGCTATCTCATACGGAGTTGTTGGATTATTGGGTTTTTCTCCTGATTACCTTCCAGTGTAAAGGACTTTGATTCTGTTTAAATTCTTCACAATCAATCCCTTTGATGTATACCAGTATAGTAAATTTACATTTACACAGAATCTCAAAGCACACCTGGGTTTTCCTCAAAGCATGCAGGTGACTGGCTTAGACCAAGGAGGACCCCTATCGCCTCACCGTAGGAGGGTCTCCGTGTACCCAGCTTTCCCCACAGTGCAAAGACATGCATGTTGGGTTAACTGGTGATTCTAAATTGGCTGTAGGTGTGAATGTGAGTGTGTTGTCTGTCTCTGTGGGTCAGCCTTGGGACAGACTGGCGACTTGGCTAGGGAGTACCCCGCCTCTCTTTCCATGATAGCTGGGGTAGGCTCCAACCTAACCCTGAACTAGATAAGTGGAAGTAAATGAATGGATGGAAAACTCATATGTTAATAATACTGACTAGTCCCTGCTTTTCTGTGTCAGATTTAACCCGGCTGTAATTAGATGCATGCACCATGTGGGCTGCCCCTGAAGCCAGCGCCTGGTTCCCTTCCATATGGGGACAAACTCAGCACCAAGGTTGCATGTCATTAATTCATCTCTCTCACTCCATTTTCTGTCAACTGTCTAATGGAGCATTTTAATGAATTAACACACTACCTCAAAAATAATGGGAAAAAATTAACATGATATCAAGAAAAATTATTAACTATTTTTCAGATTATACAGGACCCAGTTTATTAAACAACCTCCAGCATAAAGCAGGATTTTAAACCTACTCCAGGTCCCGATGGGCAGGCCCATTTCTTAAATCAGAAACCAAATGATAAGCAATGAACTTGGGGCTCTAGGTTCAGTTTCTCACTTGCCTCTTTCTATCAGCATCCTTCAATAATTTAGTGAGGCCACCTGCAACAGTCTATGGAGCAAACACTTCAAATGCTATTGCATTCATCAAATGTTAAACTGTTGCATAGTTTAAACTATTCAACGGTGCCTCCGCTCAAACCTGTTTCCTTGACTACCCATTTTCCATGAGTGCTTATTCAGCTCACTGGGGGCCTGTCACAGCTGACTCAGGGCAAAAAGAGGGGTAAAACCCAGAGAGATCATCATGTCATCACAGGCAACACAGACACTCACACTTCACATTCACACCCACTCCTAAAAGTTAACACACTGAAGTGAATATACTGAGGCTACATCTTTTAATTACTGACTTACTGAAAGTGATCAGTTCAGTAATACAATAAAAAAACAGAAATGTTCATTTTTATCCCTTATCTCTTTTTAACTTATTTATTTTTATTGATAAGTTAAAACAATAACATATTCTGCAGATTTTAGAGTATTTGTTTGTTTGTTTCTTTTTTGTTGTTTGTTTAGAGAAATGAAAGAAATTGAGTGTGTCTTGCAAAGCTTATACAAGATTCATAAATGACGTGATTGCATTGTTGTCCAGAGACGGTAAGCTGGGCACACTCAAAGGCCATATCCTGCGGTATTGAAGGATTCTTCCATCAAATATGCAGCATTTCATAAAATGAAATGAAATCCTGCTATAGGGGGGAAAAAATCTTTTAAGCGCACTGAAAGCTCTATTTTCACTGACACAGTGCCGGTGTTATAGTGTGCAGTTGTGCCTTGCTACCTTTTGAGAAGCAGCCAGCATTCTGACAGGATTGAGAATCTATTATTATGCAGCTATAGTCGGGGTAATTGATAGGGGAAGAGAATCATGGTGGGCAGAGTCTGCGGGCTTCATCTCTGTCGTGGTCCCTGTGGTTTCCACTTCTTGTGCCTTCTGTGTTCCACTTTCTTTGTTATCATGTTTTCTTTCAGTCTTAATTCTCAGCGTTAGCTATTACCTATTTGTGGTGACAGCCTCTTTTACTTTGAAAGTTAGTTTTTTCATGTGTCTTGTTTTTTTGGCTTTGTTTCCTGTTTTTTCAACTGAAAAGGCATATAGACATGATCAAAGTGAAGTTGAAACTGAACATCAGAATTGAGAAGAAAGCTTTGAATGTGGCGTGGTTGTTGGTGTCAGTCAGGGTCGTCCGAGTATTTCAGAAACTGCTGATCTACTGGAATTTTTCCCACACACAAAATATCCAGCAGATCAGCAGTTCTTTGGGTGAAAAGGCCTTGTTGATGTAAGAGGTCAGAGGTCAGACTGCTTTGAGTTGATAGGAAGGCAACAGTAAAGCTTGATTTTGACTTCTGTGTGAAATCTACGCCCTAATTTATGTAGTAACCGAAAAACTCCTTTTACCCCATTCCACGCCATTCAGACTGTTGTGGAATGCCTTGACCCGACGTGTAGTTACATTTCTCAGGAGGTGCACGTCAGGTTACATAGAAGGTTGCGGTGTAGGGTTAAAATGAAGTTGCGGTTATGGCCTAAGTTGTGACGTAGATCTGATGCGGAAGTATAATCCATGTGTAACTCAAATGAGTGCAGAAGAGCACACATTGGTTTCAGCAGCAGAAGACCACACCACATGCCAATCCTGTCAGCTAAGATGCGAAAACTAAGACTGCAAATTTACACCGGCTCACTGAAACTAGACAATAGAAGATTTGAAAAACATTACCTGGTACAATGAGTACTGATTTCTGCTGCATTATTCAGATGGTAGGGTAAGAATTTGGAGTAAAAAGCATGAACGCATTGAACGATTCTGCCTTGTGTCAACTGTTCAGGCTGCTGGTGACGCGGTAATGGTGTGGTGAAAATTTTCTTGGCTCACTTTAGGTTCCATAGTTCTAGCTGAGCATTGTGTAAACACCACAGGCTTACCCCTTCATGACTGCAGTTTATCCATCGTCTAATAGCTGCTTTGGGCCATGTCACAAAGCTCAAATCATCTCAAAGTGCTTTCTTGAA